GCCTGGTTATGTGGCCAAAGCACACCGATTAATGCTGTGCCAAAACATCGTTCTGCTCTGGGTTTGAAGACTACATGTGTGCATTTCCATGGACAGTTCAACATTACTGATTCCAAAAGCAGATTTAGAAACAAATCTGGGTGCTTCGATTACTAACAACCTCTAAGCACGGTTCATTAACTGGTGACTATAAGAGCAGCAGACGATGTCACGAGCTTAATCAAAAAGTCACTTTATGCTTCCACAACTGAAGGTTCTCAGCTGATGTGCGAAAGATAGGTCCAGCCAGGGCAAAAGTTGTCATCAGCAGTCAAGTACGGCAGACAGTAATGCTTAAAGTAAGACAACACAGCTGGTGACCAGTTTGCACGACGTACCTAATAAGCAATGGTCAGAGAAGACCCGTCAACTCAGCAAGATATTATTTTACTTCCTCAGTTTTGCATTCGGTGGAAGAAAGTGTAGAAGAAACAGTCGAACATTTTATCAGGCAGTTTTATCAAAATCGTCGAGTAACGAGAAGGATTTATATTCGTGGTGGTCAACTTCACAACCATAAGTTTTACAAATTAGTGCCTTAGTAACAAGGTGAAGCGTGCAATAATGTTAGTTTCCTAGGGTTTTAGTATACACTGAAGTGTTTATAGTCGCATTTAAAACCAAGTAACATACTCGCTTGCTATACCTTCACCCATCTATTTGAGCAACAGTCATCATGACCTATCACTCCTTTAGTACTATGTATATCGACTTGGAAACGCTTGCAAGTGCTGGATAATTGAAGGTGATCCTCATATTAGTACATCTGCCAGTGAAATCCCGTTTGACTGAAAATATGAGCTTATGATTTGTGAGTCGTCTATCCATGTCTAAATAAAGCTAAATGTCAGTGCATCTCAGAAAACAATAAGTTCCTGTTATCCATGTCTAAAGCTAAATGTCAGTGCATCTCAGAAAACAATAAGTTCCTGTTCTTGCTTTCATAATTATTGAATATTCCTGGCATATTTATTGTGCTTAACTAATATCATTTTTTAACCCATCGGAGTGAAAATACAAAGGCAATTCAAAAACGCACCGTTGTTTCAAGGTCACCCCGGATATGAAAAAAGGATTCACGGATTGATACACAGGATCGAGGCTTTTGCCCAAGTTTCCCGGGTCGGCTTTTTTTTTT